CTGTACGCCTGAGCAGGTGTGAGTTAGGTGAGACATGAAATCCCAGATAACTTGTTCTTATTATTGTTATCCTTGACACGACATAAGTAACATTATACAACATATGACGTTATCCATTAGTTTACCCACTTAACTGCCTTGTTGTATGACAGACATAAGAGTGGGATTTTTTGTTCACATGAATGTTCACACTCATAACAAACGTGTGCGGTATGATGACGCGTATGATGATTTAATGTGTCAGGAGATCCACTAGTGTGTCTTCTGGTAGGGACACATATCGACTTGCAAAATGTGGGCAGGACGAGATAGATTAGTGATCTTTTGATTGTTAGTTTTCATACAGAATCCCAAAGACGTTTGTAAGAACCGTTAGATATTGCGACAACTGAAGACTGGTAACAAAAATCACCCAAATTTTCCTAGGTTTGAATCCAGATTTATATCCGGAACAGCCGTTGACTAATGCTGTAAATAGATTGAGATGAGAACTGATATGCCAAATATATAAACACAAGATCTTTAGTGGAATTGTGTGTGAACACTCGTCCTGCTGTCCTGGCGCAGTTATCTGTTGGGTCCACACGAAAGGATGGAGCGCTGGAAATGAGTTCAGCTCTTGTTAAAGCTCGTTAGCAGTGCACAACCTTCACCATGCTGGGGTCTAAACTCCGGACATGTGACATGCTAGGCGAATGTGCTCCCACTACTTCACCGGAGCATTCTGGACGTGTCTGAAATGAAGATCTCGATTATCTTAGTCATTGTTGGAGAGCCTGATGTATTAAATTTAATGTTCTTAAACTATTGGGTATATGATACCGAACAAAACATCTCAGTTGCTTGTGTCCTTCGGTACTTTAATAATGGGGCAGTTTAATTGCCAACCAAAAATGGGTTCGTATTCATTAATTAGATGTATCAAACATGTTATCAACTAGTCTACGTAACGGGGTTTGAACTGGAAATAATAAATCAGTAGGGACTTGAGTGTCAAGAAAGTCGGTTTCCGTTGCTGCTGTTACTGTTGGCTATAGACCGAGAGCGAAATAAAATTTCCCGATATTTTCCTGCTAGTGGGAGATAATTAAACAACCTTTGATATGTACTGCATAAGAAAGCAAGCCATTGATTATTTGAAGTATTTTACTGACCAAATGACGTTTGAAGTAAAGAGATTTTAGTAGTTCCTCTTGTGCGGTCCTTAAGCGATTTTTAGATGCATCGACTACATTTCATGTACTCATTGATCAGCTTGATGTGTGTCAAGTCTATGAAGTTAAAAATCGGACTATTTTAGAATTCAAAAGCTTCAAACTTCCGCTAACTGGCCATAAATGATCTTAGAAGACTATGATTAGGCAGATTTAATAGGGTGGAAGACAGCGACAAACGCGTGACTATGAAATTAGAAAATTGACCTTGGGCGGTACTGTTCAACAGAGGGTATATCTGTGGGTGGAGATGAGTTGGACCATGACATATACAACACAACGAGTAAAGCGTTTTTTACCGACAAAGAATTGGGTCGCGATATCTTAGGCGATGACTAGAGCCACTGTGATTGCCCATCGCTTTACTGATCTGGGTTGATTAGGAGGCGCCTTGTAAACACTGTGGAAGCCTTGGCTGTGAGCTACGTTGAGCACCGTTTCCCTTGTTATTCGACTCAGATGGTTATCGTCCTTCTGGTTCCAGAAACTAGCCAGAGAGCTCCTTCGTTCTTTGGCCGAGTTGCCTAGTCTTGCCTCCATTGTATTCCGCTGCACAGGGGCAAGAGTTTACTAACACACTTTGGGCGTGGATAAGAAATGTATGTTCGAAAGTAAAGTAACACAGACGATTGCTTGTGAACCAGGTTCGGGGTGTTTCGGCCGAGAAAAATTTGTTCAAACTGTTTGGTAGGTCGACTGGTATATCCTTCTTAAACTGGAGGCTAATGTAAAAGGGTTTTCTTTTAACTGTGACGATACTGGTGTTAGCTTCTCCCCCGTTCGATAAAAATGTCGGGCAACCCGTCGTCTCTCAGAACGTTGATGAGAGTTGGGATTTCTTGTTTCAGCACATCTTCAGAGCACATTTCCTTCGGCCTGTTAGTTAGGCTATGGATCAGGTACCGTTTCTGTCTTGGTAGCATGATGTTGATGGAGTTACTATAGTCAACCAAGTAGGTTTTCGTTACACCAATCGTTTCGTGACATCGTGACATCGTTCAAAGCCAATATCTAGGAAGTAGAATACGTTATCGGTTGCTCCATTCCGAGGTGAATTGGATGGCGGTGTGAGCTTTATTGGACTGCTGTTGGACTGATGCCATCTCGGGTTTGTTGTTTACGACCGCGGTATTGCATCTTCTCCATTCTGCTTTTAAAGGACCGTTTCCAAGTTTACTCGTGAAAACTTCGACTAGCATCGGGCCCACTGGTGAGCCCATAACAACTCCATCAATTTAACGGTAGAGCATGCCATTGAACAATAGTTGCACATTCGCATCGCAGGGCCCACTGGTGAGCCCATAACAACTCCATCAATTTAACGGTAGAGCATGCCATTGAACAATAGTTGCACATTCAGTGTGCATCGCAGGAGTTTTCGCAAATCATTGACTGTATTTGGCAACTGAAAGTTGTTGGCCTCTATGTAGTTACATGGGTAGTTAACCGTTGCAGTCAAGGGGACGTTAGTAAGCAGTGAAGTTACGTTCAGTGAAAGCATGAACGAATCTTTCAGCTCTATGTCCTTTCTTGAGTCCATGGGTTGAAACGTATCACGAAAACTGTACTGACACATTTGTATCTTATCGGTCTCAGCATTTGAACAAGACAATGTGCGAAAAAAAAGATCTGAAGCTATAGGTCCATAGGCAATAAGGTAGATGCCACCGAATAAAAACTCGGTTATTGGCAAGCTCATCGAAACCTTTTGCTGCTTTGCTTACCCCAAACCAAAGTGGGGAAGTACCGAGTTAAATTCTTGCTAATTCACCGAGAATACTGGGATCGAGACTCCGGATATCTGATATGTTACCACTAACTCTAGATGTACGAGCTATGGGAACAAGTTTTTTTTACCTGATAAGCGAACCCCTTACCCCAAACCAAAGTGGGGAAGTACCGAGTTAAATTCTTGCTAATTCACCGAGAATACTGGGATCGAGACTCCGGATATCTGATATGTTACCACTAACTCTAGATGTACGAGCTATGGGAACAAGTTTTTTTTACCTGATCAAGCGAACCCGTTCACACCGGGCGATCGGACTGGTAGTTGACAGACATTTGTCAAGCATTTGTTAGTTTCAGGTTGATCATTGACTCACTGGAATAGATAACACATTACGTGCAGTATGGTCTGTGGTAATGCTTTTGAGAGTCAGGAAAGCTCGTACATTTACATCAAGTTTTCATTATCCGAGATTAAGTGGTATTGTCAGGCGTAATCCTAAAGAAAATTCCATTGTGTTGTTTATTTTGCAGTCACCGCTGATGTCTTAATAATGCATTATTATCAGCCTGACACTTGAAATGTCCCCACAACTAACCTGAACGGACAGACTCATCAGTCTAAGATGTCATTTCGAGTCGGTGTGGAATACTCACTGAGAAAAAGAATCCTGGACGCCTTGACTCCGATAATTGAGGGCTGAGACACGCTGGACTACTTAGTACATGCTATCAACTATCAACTCATCTTTTTTGTCCAATCATTCAGTCGAATGTCACCGCAATTCTCAACAATAATTGAGATTACGACGATAATAACCATGGTGAGGCCAGTGAAGCTTTTGACACAAAGATACGACAAAAGCCCCCTTCAAACTGAAGTGACTGACTGCACACTACACAAATTTCCGTTTACACGGGCGAGCATCAGAAACGTTTTCGCGTGAAGAACGAAAATAAAAGTAAGTTTCTTCGGCATCATGGGCAAGTATATCGACTGTGCAAAACAAATTGATTACAAAAAGTGTCACTCCTGCAGCATGTAATTTTATCTTATAGGCCATGTTTTCGCATCCTTTGTGAGACGCACAACGTTTATGGCCTTCTTTTATTTTGGGACAAAATAATTCCAGCGATCCCGTGGTAGTAACCTTGACAGGCCCACCGAACCCAACAAGGTCAGAAGCTTGGCAGATGTATCCAGGTAAGTCAGGCCAAAATAAACTCTCCATACACCATTATTTACTTCGTTTCTTGGAACATTCGAGTCATGGCTTACAGGTATTGGTGCTCCAGCATCCAGCTAACCTTCTCACCTAAAAAAACCCTCGAAGGACTTACATTAATAGCGGGCATCGGTAAGTGCAGGCATTTACAGTAGTAGGTTTGCGTCGCGTTTTCTACGAATCAAATGATATTTACCTTCAAAAGGTCTTTTGATTTGCTGAAATAGTGGGTAGTGATGGAAATAACATAGGACCCGTCTACAGCATACCAATTAATAGCTCACCAAGTGATCAATCAGTGTCAGTTAAATTGAAATCATTGTTCCAGATTCTAGCAAGGTTCAAACTCAGTGACGTTTTCCAGCACAAGAAGTGGGAATTCATTTGAATTTCCCATATACTAGGGTTCACGATGGGTTACCCATATAGGCATTTAGTCTACCTGAAAACCAAATCTTCTACCTGCGACCAATGGCGGCCACAACTTCGACGGCACAGAGACCCAAATTTGTTCTGGAACCAAAACAAGAACACACCACACTAACCTCTCCTAAGATGGAGAACAGATCAGAAGTGCTCCTGTCAAACGAACCAGGGTTATTTTAAAAATTGCACCTTGAAGTGTGCTTCAGCGGCCAGAAAAGGATTCAAACCGCTTTTATTGATAGTTTATATTGATTAGGCATGCGAGTGCACGCTCTCTGATCCACGAATCTGCCTTTGTTTTGTAATGCTAAAGCGACTATTTAGTAGTCTGTTCGGCTTAGTTTAATCTAAGGCCTTTTAAGAAGCTGTGAGGAATCAGTTTAGGTATACGCCAGTTAAACCGTCCACTACTAATGGCAACCAAAAACCAAGCACATATATCGATCACGATTTAATGACCTTGAGGGCTGGGGCAGCTATAGAACCCCCCATTCAAATCTATCGATTCAGTTGCGCGTACCATCCGTTTCCATCCGGTGTGGAGCGTAAATCGCGCTTCGTAGGTCAGCGTGTGCAAAAATAACTTTATCCATTAGCTTTACTGACATCACAAAATGGTAAGTTGACTTTGTTGTACCTACGCTCACCTTCAGCGGGAGTGCATCAGTCTTCACATAGGACAATCCGGAGTGCAAGTTGGCAATGCTTGCTGGGAACTTTACTGTCTGGAACACGGGATTCAGCCGGATGGACAAATGCCAAGCGACAAAACCATCGGTGGTGGAGACGACTCATTTGAAACCTTTTTTAGTGAAACGGGTGCTGGAAAACATGTGCCAAGGGCAGTTATGGTCGACTTAGAACCAACAGTAGTCGATGAAGTCCGAACTGGGACTTATCGTCAGCTCTTCCATCCAGAGCAATTGATAACTGGCAAGGAGGATGCCGCAAATAATTATGCACGTGGGCATTATACCATTGGTAAAGAGATGGTTGATTTGGTCCTGGACAGAATTCGTAAACTGGCCGACCAGTGTACCGGGCTCCAGGGATTTCTGATCTTTCATTCGTTTGGTGGTGGCACCGGATCTGGATTCACTGCACTCCTGCTAGAACGTGTTAGCGTTGATTATGGAAAGAAATCAAAACTGGAATTTGCTGTCTATCCATCACCACAAATTTCGACGTGTGTTGTTGAACCATACAATTCCATTTTGAATGTTCACACTACTTTGGAGTTGTCCGATTGCGCATTCATTATGGATAACGAAGCTATTTATGACGTGTGCCGGTAAGCTATCTTTTATTCCGTTCAACTCAGAATAAGTGTTTGGAGGTCTGAGTACATTGAAAGTTTTTCTCATTAGGCCGCTTGTCTTTGTTTTGCTCCTTTGATTAGAGTCATTTACTCACATTGTTTGATATCCTTCATGGCACTCAAGTACCAGTGTGCTCCGCAGTTGTTTTTACTCACAATATGGACTGCTTCGGCGAAATTAGCTTTGGTAATTGTGGAAAACTTTGCTGATTTCAGACGCAACCTGGACATAGAACGACCAACATATACCAATCTGAACCGGTTGCTGGGACAAGTGGTCAGCTCAATAACGGTATCTCTGCGATTTGATGGCGCTTTAAATGTGGATCTGATGGAGTTCCAGACGAATTTGGTTCCCTACCCTAGGATCCATTATCCATTGTCCACCTACGCTCCTGCCATCAATGCTGAGAAGGCGTACCACGAACAACTTACCGTCGCCGAAATAACGAACTCCTGTTTTGAACCTGCTAACCAACTCGTCAAGTGCGACCCACGCCATGGGAAATACATGGCATGTTGTTTACTCTATCGTGGCGATGTGGTACCGAAAGATGTGAATGCAGCAATCGCCACCATTAAATCGAAGCGCACTATTCAGTTCGTCGATTGGTGCCCAACCGGTTTCAAGGTTGGTATCAACTATCAACCTCCGACTGCAGTACCAGGAGGTGATTTGGCCAAAGTACAACGTGCCGTATGTATGCTGAGTAATACAACGGCCATATGCGAAGCGTTTGCTCGTCTGAATCACAAATTCGATTTAATGTACGCAAAACGAGCTTTTATCCATTGGTTTGTCGGTGAGGGAATGGAAGAAGGTGAATTTTCAGAAGCTCGTGAAGATCTTGCTGCCCTCGAAAAAGATTATGAAGAAGTCGGTGCAGATAGTGTCGAGGGTGAGGAAGGAGAGGCGGAAGAAGAATATTAAGCCTGATTTTCTTTGCGATTTTGTTCGTCTTCATGTGGCGACCGACGCTTCCTATTCTTGGCGAACTGACGGCGCTTAGAAATAACTCAACTGGATTGCTTCCAGTACATGATGCAAACTTCTCCACTTGCACAAGTCGTCACTTCAGCTTACTGTGAAATGCACAGTTCAACTGTTTTGTTTGCCTAACTATTACGAGATTTGTCAATATCTCGTAATAGATGACAAAAGGCAGGCCATGCACATCCTATTACATTTGTAATAGAAAAGGTCTCCTCGATTGCTTTAGTTGTTTTCCTTTCATAACTCGGGACAGTGTGGAAGAAGTGCGATCTAGGAATTTGCCAAAAAGTAATCATTTAACCGTAGTGCTTGGTTGTTTTAAGTTGTAACAGCATTCCAGACCTAGATGCTCCACCTAGAGGTCAGCTGTGTACGTTGTTACGAGCAATAATGCACCTACGATAAACTCGTCGTGCTGATAAGCGGATAAACATCCTGAATTCAGCTGTAATAACCGCTTACTTGTCGTACAGTGGTTGGAGCTACCACAGTTTCGTTCACCGATGAATCGGGGAGGTGGGGTAAGTAGCTGCGCATTGGAGACGGGAGCTGATAAACTAGTGCGTAAATACAGCCCTGTAGGTGGACTGAAGTGGGACAATCAGGCGGACAATCAAAATTCTAGAACAGCCTTACCAAAAACGTCGGTAGATTTAACACGGGTTATCGGGTATTATCCATATATCTTTATACATTCACCTCGTGCTCACTTAAACTGAAGTATGTTCAGTGTCTTTCATCGGACGTTCTTGTGAATACGTACTGTACTGAATGCGTCTGTATTCAAATAGAGCAGTTGTCGAAAATAGGGAAAATCAACCCAAGTGAAGAAGTTTCGACACGTTTTATACGTCCTCAGGAGCTTATTAGTTTTACGTACTTTGTGTAGCGTTTCTGATTTCCTCCGCGACATATTTGTAGTAAACACTCCTGAATAATTAGCAAAATGCAACTGTTTTGCACCTCACTGTTTTTCTCTCTGAGGAACGTTCCAGAAATTCAGTTCCCTGCTCAAGTTTTTAAGGGATGCTTTCTTATACACAATCTATTTCCCTATTCAACGGCAGTTCCAAATTGGTTCACACCTCTCTTCCAACTTCCTGGTTTGACCAAGACTGCGGGTAGTGAGATTTCCTCAAACGAATCTGTTAGAAACCCACCAACTATAGGTCGGCCTCAGTTGTCCGTGGGAGCTGGCCAATCTTAAGAATACGGGCAGTAAGGCATTTAGATATCATTCTGTGTTCCTGCGTATAGCATGCATGTTTTGAATCGTACTCAGCCATTGACTCTCGTCATCACTCAACACGTCTGTCATTTGGTCAGCTATTGGATGATTGAAGTGTGAAGTGAAGGGCAAAATCGTTGTTTCTACAACTAAACAAACGCTGGTCGGTTGGGGGTAGCATTTTACGATGCTCGCAGTGCAGCAGCAGCGAACACTGTGACTGCATCTCCAGGTTGCCTTACAGTGTGGTTAACTATTTCATGAAGTTGTGCTACTCTTTTTCTGTCTGTTGATGACCGCACTTTACGGCAAGGTTTCGCTCAAAAAATTCCGGTCATTATTGCTGCCAGGTCATGTAGCATTTTATATCGACCCATATCACTCAACCACCAACCCCTTAGGCAGTACTGTCGAAGTTAAGGAAAAAAAAGCGGAGAGTAAATATGTTCGATAGTCTCGAGAATTAGGTATTCGTGTCCAGCTGCAAATGTCCGCAGCTTAGAGCAGAACGTATTGTGGGTCATACCACTGTGGATACATCTGGACCAAAAAAATACGGAGAACGGATTCTTGCGGGCATAAGTAATACGCCTTTTGACTAGACCGAGAAATTGGATGTATACCAAAACGACCCAAGGTCCGGCAACTTAGATGACCCAAAAGTAACTAGAAGCGTCCGAGAAAAGCCTCAAAATGTAGTTACGGGAATGAACGAATAACCAGAGGGAACATATTCCCAGATTGAAAGGAACCTACTGACCAGATATTCGGTATCTGATGACTACAAAAGACAACTGACTTGGCGAACATCTTGATAAGCCCAAGCAAATCTTGGTGGACGGAAATACCACATTTCGCGTTAGAGAAGCGTTTGACAGGTATACAGTGCTTTCTAGTTGCTTACACATTCACTAACGACCTACCACGTTTGGTTACTCTCGGTAGCAGAACTGCAGTCTGTACCGAATCACTTGCGGTCCAAAGAAGCATTGAAGCCTTGAAGTTATTTTGTAGGGCTGTTCAGGCTGGACGAGATGACGCTGCAGAAAAGGATTCCGCGTTTTCCGTGAAGAGTCTAAGAGATGGAAGATGATCCACAAGGTCTCAGGGATTCACTAATAATCTCGTCACAAGAAGGTATAGAAAATCACCGGGTAACGAGTAGTCACAGAGGACTTGATGCTTTCTCAATAGCAAGAAAAATGTTTACTCAAGTGCTGTCTAACGAACTAGTCGCTGGACAGTAGTGTGAATTCAGAAGCAGCCCAGGTTGCACCAATTTTGATTTTTCACAACATAATGAATGCGATTACCAAAAGCAATCACCCAAGTGTTTACGGATTTCACCAAGAACAGTAACCCAATAAAAGAGCTATGTGCTTACTCCTAATCCAGAGTGGACATCTAGGAAATCTGCTAACTTCAGAATGTCTTCCTATGTGGAATGAAAGCTAAGGCGTCAACCATCGTAACTGTCTCCATCTGCCTGAAATGGGATTGAAAATAGATCATATCCCTGTTATATCTCTGTTCCGTCTGCATCTAACGACTAATTCAATGCTGCAATCATGCAGATGTGAATCTGCGACATCAATTTAAATCCATCCAGATAGTTGTAGGTTTACTTCGAGCGTTTATTGGCCAAACTATTGCAGGTGTGGTGCCTGGCGTGGACAACTACGCTTTCATTTACATCAAGTGCATCATTAGTCACACCACGCTTTAGACCAAATACCAATATGAGAACAGCTATATTACCCTGGTAGGCTATGTCAGTTCGACATGAAGCATTAAGCACCCAGTCGAATTGTTTTTTAGGTATCATACTGACATACCTATCCTCTTTTTTTGGTGAGTACACAGTTCATAGAATTCATGCTTGTTGGTTAGCTAAAATACGGAGTACCATTTGGATTCGTCTAAAGCATCAGGATGAGGAAAACTTGGACTGATCCCACTTGATGAGCCCCAAGAAAATTATAACTAGTCATCGGCTGTCGAAATGTTCTCTGCAGCTTCATGATTAGGTTGCTTTATTAAAATTTGCTGCGATATCTAGAATACCGTATTAAATGAAATATAGGACGGCCTGTTCGCGGTAAATTCAGTTGATTGATTCAGCCATAATTCAGGACGAACTTCTCGTGAAAACCAAATTGGTATGCGAATGGGTACATTCGATGAAGGTCAGCGTAATGTCTGCTTAAGAGTTGTTGCTGAAGAAACCACTAATTATGTGTAGATACATTGTATCAAGCTGTCGCGTTCTTCGCAGCAACGGAACCCGAAAATCCTTACAAACGAGATGGTTAAGAACCTGACCACTTTTTATGCAAAAACTTTGGAAGCAAACTAATAAGCAAAGTCAAGATACCGGAGTTCTTCAAACAGAACACTAGTGCAATTGTATACAAAGTCACCCCCTTTGGTTAGGCTATGAGAATATTGATGGACATCTGCAAATCGAGATGAGTTATCTAAGGTCGCTTGAATGATGAAGTCCAGTCTAATGAACATTTGATAGCATCGTGGCACTCAAGCAAGCCTGAGAAAATGTATTGTTCATTCTTGATTATTGGAGAACCTTTAGCTTAGCAAAGGTAAGGCGAATATTGTTGAGGTTCCCGATAGGGAACTTTGAGTAAGATGCGGTCGTTCCTTCCGACGGCGGTCTCGTGATTCTCATTGGACGTGCGATCAAACGGAACCCATGAGAAAACAAGTCAAGGCAGGTTCAGGAAACGGGACATGGATGCGCATGGGTAACTAGGTCAGCATCGCGCGCACAGACACACATGTCAACACACGTGTCGGAAATGACGGCCTCTGCGGCAAGGTGAGTGGCGGGTACGAATAAGCAAAACGAGGACAAAAGTACATAGGCTGAGTAAGCAGATGAATGCGGGAATTACCATAAGGTCAAGTTAGATTCAACAAATATCTACCTAGGCGAGAATCGGAATTTTTGGAACTTGCCTCAATTTTTCTAAACAGGTAAGCCATCCAAAAAGGATCCACTACTCCGTAAAATGCCATGACTATGATAATGATTCACCCCTGTTAATGTCTTAATTGGTAGACGCAAATAAGAAGACTGACTCTAGCGGCTTCCATCTTCCAGTAGGTGAATTTGAGGCATTTATAGCACTGTATGGATGGCAGAATCAATACACATTTTGTTGCTCGATTGCCACAAATTTACTCATCATCGACTTAACAGCGCACTAATGGACGGTCATACACTAGTCTTTCGGTGTCATCTTCTCACCCCAAAAGTAGCTTAAAATTCCGTTTGTTTATTAGCATTTGAGTTTGTCCAAGTAGTGAGCCACCCTAAGTATATTGATCGTGTAAACATTGAGTCTCAGTGGCTGATTCAGTCATCAGTGGTTCACCGAATGCCTACCCTGCTCTCACTCAGCTGGTAACATCTAATTTTAACAGTATACTGGGCTTCGAGTGGAACGTCAACAGACCACACACAGTACGGTCTAACGTGAACGCTTTTCACTCGCAATGTATGGCATAAAATGTGATTTCGCGAAAAATGTGATGCGCGTGATCATTCTGCACCTTAATTACCATAATGGAAAATATGTGTTCTAGAACATAAAATTTGTTTAGTGGTCTATAGTTAGAAACCCGCAATAAATTTCACGAATACAGCTGACTTGCCGTTCGTATAGGTTTTATAATTAAAATAAAATGGAACCCTGAGAGCCGATGGAACCAACACGTTTCGTTTGAAGTACTGATGGCAACCCAATGACATCCTTGCTGCTATCGGTTAGAAATATGAACATGAGTGAATATGAAGCTAAGGTGTTACAAATGGAGCTCAAATTGTAGGACAAGGTTTAAAGGGCTGTCAAATCCGACGAGATTCTCATTTGTTGCCACCAAGTCTTCTTCGAGTCTGCATCATGACATTTCATCACTCTTGTTCAGTCCTCTTAATTATTGTATTAAGAGCTCCTATATCGAAGCATA